TCAAATTATTTTAAAACATTGGAGGGTGGGATGGGACAAGGGAGGCTCAAGAAGGAGGGAGTGTATATATATAATTACGGCTGATGCCTGTTGTTGTACAGCAGAAACCAGCACAACATTGTAAAGCAATTATCCTCCAATTAAAAAGTAAATTTAAAAAATTAGAAAAAAATGGAAATATGCACGTGACATATTTTTGGTGATTATAAATGGGCAAAGGCTAAGCTAATTCCAGTCACTGCTACATAACTAACCACTCCTGTACTAATAATGAATGGTCTCAAGGAAAAATTGGAAGTCTAGCCCAGTTCAATATTGAAATCCCCTTTCAGGAAGAAAGTTGAGAAAAATGAACCCAGCCCATTCTCCAGTACCTCTGGTGAAATTTAAGATCATAATACTCTTCTTCAGAATCTGAAATCTATCTTCTCTCCAGGCAGTTTCTCTCTCCTTTCTTATACTGCTGGTGGGAATGTAAACAAATCATTCCTTCATAAGTATAGTTTGGCTATCGGGTATCAAGAAACTCTAAAAACCATGTAGACTTTAACCTGACAATTGTGCTTCTAAGATTTGATCATAGGGAAATCAGAAATACCTGCAAAATTATATGACTAGATTTATATCACAAGATAGTCACAACAATGTTATTTTTGATAGTGAAATATTAAAAACAATCTAAAGGAGATTGGAATCTCTCAAAATGTTTTTTTGTACAAACTGGTCTCATAATAATCCCCAAGCATATGTATATACACACACACAGGATTGCATGATAAAAAAATTTTGAGATACACACACTATATCCCTCTTGTGAGCAATCACAAAGCATATGAGCAAGAATCTTCTCTGAAAAAATTCCTGCAATAAAGAAATCTGTTTAACAATGTTTAACTCAATGTTTCTCGAAATCTTTTGGCCATGGAACACCTTTATTGCATAATCTTAATATACTCCATAACTAGGGCTCTGAAAACTATTTCAGGAAATACTAGGTAAGTAAATTTATATAACTGTATTATGGAATGCTAGAAGAGAAGTGAAAGGCAAAGGAGAAAAGGAAAGATATACTTATTTGAATGCAGAGTTCCAAAGAATAGCAAGTAGAGATAAGAAAGCCTTCCTCGGTGATCAGTGCAAAGAAATAGAAGAAAACAATAGAATGGGAAAGACTAGAGATCTCTTCAAGAAAATTAGAGATACCAAGGAAACATTTCATGCAAAGATGGGCACAATAAAGGGCTGAAATGGTATGGATCTAACAGAAGCAGGAGATATTAAGAAGAGGTGGCAAGACTACACAGAAGAACTATACAAAAAAGATCTTCATGAATCAGATACCATGATGGTGTGATCACTCACCTAGAGTCAGATATCCTGGAATGCGAAGTCAAGTGGGCCTTAGGAAGCATCACTATGAACAAAGCTAGTGGAGGTGATGGAATTCCAGTTGAGCTATTTCAAATCCTAAAAGATGATGCTGTGAAAGTGCTGCACTCAANCAAATAGATGGGAAAACAATGGAAACAGTGGGAGACTTTATTTTCTTGGGCTCCAAAATACTGCAGATGGTGACTGCAGTCATGAAATTAAAATATGCTTGCTCCTTGGAAGAAAAGCTATGACCCAACCTAGACAGCATAATAAAAAGCAGAGACATTACTTTGTCAACAAAGGTCCATCTAGTCAAAGCTATTGTTTTTCCAGTAGTCATGTATGGATGTGAGAGTTGGACTATAAAGAAAGCTGAGCACCGAAGAATTAATGCTTTTGAACTGTGATGTTGGAGAGTCTCTTCAACTGCAAGTAGATCCAACTGGTCCATCCTAAAGGAAATCGGCCCTGAATATTCATTGGAAGGACTGATGTTGAAGCTGAAACTCCAATACTTTGGCCACCTTATATGAAGAACTGACTCATTTGAAAAGACCCTGATGCTGGGAAAGATTGACAGTGGGAGGAGAAGGGGATGACAGAGGGTAAGATGGTTGGATGGCATCACCAACTCAATGGGCATAAGTTTGAGTAAGCTCCAGGAGTTGGTGATGGACAGGGGAGCCTGGTGTGCTGCAGTCTACGGGTTCTCAAAGAGTCGGACACGACTGAGTGACTGAACTGGCTGAAACTGATTTTGTTACAAGGAAAACATTTTTAAACTTTTTATTTTCAAATAATTGTAGAGTTACTGCTATAGACTGATTTGTACCTTCCCAATACGCATATGTGGAAATCTAATCCTCATGGTGAAAGCATTAGGAGGCAGGACCTTTGGGAGATGATTGGGTCATGAGAGTAGAAGCCTCATGAATGGGGTTAGTGCCCTCATAAAAAAAAAAACCCCACAGAGCTCCCTCATCCTTTTAGCCAGGTGAAGACACAGCAAAAACAGTCATCTCTGTGTTAACACAGCCATTTCTCTGAAACAGGAATCAGGCCCTCACCAGACAATGAATTTGCTGGTGCCTTGATCTGGGGCTTCCCAGCCTCCAGAACTGTGAGAAATGGATTTCTGTTGTTTATAAACCATCCAGTTTATGATGTTTTGTTATAGTAGCCAGAACAGACTAAGACAGAGAAAAGTTGCAAAAAATAGTAGAGAAAGTTGTCATACATCCCTTACCCAGCTTCCCCTTGTATTGACATCTTACAAAATGACAGTGCAGTGATTGAAAGCACTGATGGAATATTCATTTGAATTTGACCAGTTCTTTCTGTTTCAGGATCCATCCCAGAATCCCACACTGAATTTACTCATCCAGAACCTTGGATTCTGAACCGCAGATTCAACCAACTACAGACAGTCAAGTTAGTACATGATTACATCCATGGATGCAGAACTCTTGGATCTGGAGGGCTAACTGTATATTTACTATTAATCTGTCATAGAGTTAGGTTCATGTTTATAATTTGTACTCCATTGGGAAATCTCCTGACATACAGGTTGACCTACTTTTTAAAATTTATTTTAATGATTCACTAAATATACCTGACTCAAAGCTACATACTTAAAAAGATACTCAGGGAAGTGTCATTCTCCCTCATCCTTGATACCCCCATCCATTCCTATCTGTCCATCCTCCTCCCATCCGCCACCTCTCAGTAACAAATTCTATTAGCTTCTAGTTTATCTTTTCTGTATTTCTTTTGCACAAATGGGAAGATACCTGTATATTTCCCTCTATCTCCTCTCTTACGTGAAGGGTAACATGTTATATATACACCTTACATGGTGCTTTTTTATGTTTAATGGCATATCTTGGAAATCACTCCAGCTTTTTAAAAAATAGTTACATAGTACTCTGGTGAGTACTGTATGGTACAGACTACAGTGTACTCTGTCATAGTTTATTCAACCACTCCCCTATGTATGAGCATCTAAGTTCTCTCTATTTTGCAAGTGTAACCAATACTGAAATTAATAACCTCTGACATGTGTATTGACATTATTAGACATGTATCTTCAGAATAGTTTCCAAGTGAAATTGCTGGGTCAAAACTAAGTACATATGTACTTGTTTTGTTGTTGTTGTTTAGTCACTAAGATGTGTCCAACTCTTTAGCGACCCCATGAACTGTAGCCCACCAAGCTCCTCTGTCCATGGGCTTTCCCAGGCAAGAATCCTAGAGTCGGTTGCCATTTCCTCCTGCAGGGAGTCTTCCCAACCCAGGGATCATACCCATGTCTCCTGCATTGGCAGGAAGATTCTTCACCACTGAGCCACCTGGGAAGCCCACTTATTTTGTTAAGCATTGCAAAATTAGCCTCAAGAATGGTTGTACCAGTTTGCATTCCCATCAGCAAGTGTATGAGAATGCTTGTTACTCCATATACTTGCCAACAGAATGTGTACTCTGCTGATTAATTTCCCTCAATCTGATAGATAAGAAAAAGTAAGTAAGCTGAGTGTTAGTTTAATTTTCATTTCTCTAATAATGGTTAGTGGATTTGGACATATTTTTAAGAGCCATTTATAGTTCTTTTTGTGAATTGTCTGTCTTTTTTTACATTTTTCTATAATGTTTTTGGTCCTTTATCACTTAATTATTAAGAATTCTTTATATAGTAAGTCGACTTGCCCTTTGTGGTATATGTTGCAAATATTTTTTCCCAGTTGGTTAATTTGTCCCTTTTTTTTTTTTAAGCTTTCTAAATAGGTATTTCTTGCCCTACAAAATTTTAATTTAATTTTATCACACTTATCAAACCTTTTTTTAACTTCTATATTTTATTATATATTTTTTAATGTGCTCCCTATGAAATACCTGAAAGACTTAGATACTACTGCAGTGCAAAGAAAAGTAAGAACTTACTCTAGGATATTTTAAACCTGAGAGTAAGAAAGTGGAAAACTCAAGGACCCTGTAGTCAGGTGGATTTTATTCTCAACTAGTTCAGTTTTATCTTTTTAGCTATGAGATTTTTGGCAAAGTATTAAGCTTCTCAAAGTCTAGCTTTCCTCATATGTAAAACAGGATGGTAAAACTTACCATGTATCATTATGAGGATTTGAAATGCTTGCTTCAGTGCTTGGAGATATTTTTTATTATTACACATATAACACATCTAATTCTTACTGACAATTTAATAGCATTTCAAGATATGTATCTGACACTTTATTCTCAAGGTTATGTCATCAAAACTCTACCACTTCTATAAGAGTGAAGAACCTGAGAAATTTTAACCAATTCACCTGTACATTCATCAAAATTTTTCTCTTCTTGGCTTTCTGAAATACTTTATCTTCTGAAATACTATCATATCTCTGTTCAAAATGAATTCAGAGCAACGTTATGAGAATGAAGGAGTTAACATCCTTAAGGCGCAGCGAGCTGGCAGATAAGAACATCAAAATAAGTTCCAGAAAGAATTCTAATGAACCCAATTTATTATCACCTTATCTCTCCAAAGCCCTTTCCTACCCCCAGCCCCCAGTTCAAAGTTTTGTGGTCATTCCCGAAGGACACGTATACTGTAGAACCGGGAATCTTGGGCTGACACTGGTTATCGTCAGTACCACGAAGGTACTCACTGGAATTCCTCTTTCCAAATGTGCTTTCCCTCCACAAGCAATTCGTTTTCAGTGTCCCTGTGAAGTGAAACAGATGCCCATAAGGAAGTCTGATGTCACCTTTGTTTTCAATATCGTTCAAAGCAAACACAGCCAAGATGGGTCCCCTAATCCTTTGGCAACTGCCCCCAAATTATTTGAACATGATGAAGTTCACATCTACCAATAAGTTAATTAGGCGGATGTGTGTCTTTATAGAGTACAGATGTCTAGCCGGACCAAAAATATGTCTAAGGGCCCCATAGATGGGAATGGATTTTTTTCTAGCTAACTGATATTTGTTTGGCTCATGGCCTTATTCCCAAAGGGGGTGATTTGAATATAGTTGTTCCCCCCTTCTGCAATTCCTCAGTGCCTCAGGGTACATGGAACTGGTGGAAGGGAAAAAAAAAGGGTGGAAGTAACAAATGAAAAGCAAATAACTTTGATTGTACCTGCACTATAATCCAGGCACTAGCTGAGCTACTTAGAGGTATAGTATTTCAGTGGTTCTTAGTCAAGAAGATACCACGCCCAGTGGCATTTGGAAAATTTCTGGAGCTACTTTTTATCATCATGATAGTTGAAAAGTACTACTGACATTTATGGGGTGGGTGGTATAATAAAAAAATAAATATTTGTTCTTTGTTCAGGTCTCCTGGTACAGAGTCCCTAAAACCCTTGGGATCTCCTAAGTGATGAGTGTCCTTTGTATTCTAGTGAGATGATTCTTAGGGAGTCTGGGAAAAGATATGGAGTCCTGGATAGCTTCAGGATACAGGGTGGTTGGATGGCATCATGGACATGAGTTTGAGCAAACTCTGGGAGATACTGAAGGACAGGGAAGCCTGGAATGCCACAGTTCATGGGGATACAAAGAGTCAGACACGACTTACAACTGAACAACACAGGGGGTGGTTGCTAGAAAGCCCAGCCATCATTAGAGGGTTGGAGCTTTCAGCCCCACTGAAAGTCCAGAAGTGGAACTTTCATCCCATCTCTGTGGAAGGAAGAGGGCTGGAGGTTGAGGTCAGTCATCAATGGTCAGTGATTACATTAATGGTATCTACATAATAAAACCTCCAAAAACACCCTAAACAATGGGATTTGGAAAGCTTCTGAGTAAGTGAATACGTTAGTGAATTCATTCTATTAATAAAAGAAGGGTATGCCCAGGAAGGGTGTGGGATCTCAGCACCTTCCACAACTCCATGCCTTGCTATATGTATATTTTCCATTTGGCTGTTTCTAAGTTGCATCTTCTATAATAAATCAGTAATAGTAAGTATAGCACTATCCTGAGTTCTGTGAGTCACTCACTTACCAAACGTGGAGTAGGAAGATGGTGGTGACTTCCAGGTCTGTAGTTAGTGCGGTGGAAGTGTAGGTTGCTTGATCACTCAGATGGTGGCTAGCCTCTGAAGTGGGGACAGTCTGAGCCCTTAACCTGTGGAATCTGCATTAACTCTGAATAGTCAGTGCCAGAACTGAACTGACTTGATGGACCCTGGATTTTGGAGAAGTGGAAAAAACAGCTCAGGTGGGGCCCAAAGGTGCATCATGCTAGACATGCCTGGCACAGTTCTGAGAAGGAGGGATTGTTCTGCCTCCCACGTGACTTTCAAAGGGCTCACTGGCAAAAATCTGTTTATAATGATCTGCACCTAGAACCTGACTTCTCTTATTTACCAACTATGTTTTTTTAACAAACATAAATAAGAATGTAACTTTCCAGAAATGCAACTAAGTAAGCTGAGTGAAGGCTGCGCTTCATTTTGTTCTCTGCGGTACTTGAGTTGCTAGGACAGGATACCTGTGTTGATCTGCGTTTGTACTTGTCACATATGTGGTGAAAAATATAGCTGCAATTGTTGGACCACCTTGTTGTATTGTCTAATATAGTTGTACCTCAGCATTTACAAATTATTTTATTATAAATAACTTTCCTTTGATACATTCTTTATATTACATATGACCACTTATAGAATTTTATGTGTATGGGTTATCCTATTTATGAATTTTATTTCAAGATATTAAAGGAAGCATTGTAAAATATTTGCAATAAAACTACAGCATTTGTTCTAAGAGGGTTGAGACTCACCATGTCATTTCATCAGTTCCTCACAATGATGTTGAGAGGATCTCTGATGAGCCCCATTTTATAGATGCAAAAGTTGGAGGTCAGAGCAGCTAAGTCTTTTCCCCAAAGCCACACAGCCAGTAAGTGGCAAAAACCAGGATTCAAATGGTTTCTGTCTGATCCTGAAGCGCCACATTTAAAGAAAATAAGAAGATAAAGGACAGAAGGATAGATTAAAGAAAAAGGATAGAGAAAGGAAAAAAGAGAGGGGGGAAAGTATAGAGGAGAAAAAAGATGCAAATTAATTTTCAATTGTTAAACTCTGTTGAGTAATCTAAATACATATAAAAGGGTCTCAATGAGAAGTATTGTTTGATGTCTGCTACGTATAATGTATGTTGTAAAATGCCAAGGATACAAAAGTAGTTTTTTTAAGTATATGACACAACCCTATCCTTGAGAAACTCATAGATGGGAAGATAGTGTACTTTTGTTTAAAACAAATGAGCAAACAAAGAGCATGGTCCCCTGAGTACATCAAGTACAAACGCAGAAGGACAGTGTCCTCTCTTTGTCGAAATGTAGGGCCAGGTTTCTAGATGGTCTTTCCCTTCTCTCGCCACAGTCAAGAAATGGGAAGCTCATCAGTTATGTGCTCAATGAAAACTTCATGCCACTGGCACACAAACTTTCCCTCCAAGTGCAGCTGATCCTGGCACTGAACCTGGCTTTATGAGACACAAATGCCAGTTTTCTCTTTCCAGAGCTGATGCCATGAGGGTACCCGGATTTTTACCGGAAGAGAGTACCATAGCCCAAAAAAGCAAGGAGTCGTCAAGTTGCCAGAAAATGCATGGCACTTTGTGCCAGGCCCAAAGCCGCAGCCACCACAGGGTGGGTGAGTGGCTTGTTTCCTGCTCCTGTCAAGATTTCTGTGAGTCACTCACTTACCAAATGTGCCATCAGGATGGCACTGATTTTCTGCCCTTCTCCCTGCTCATTGACCCTCTGTCTTTAATCCAGGGGAGTTATTTCCTTTTCAGACTCATGGGCTGAGGCAGGTTCTTCTTTATTTCACTACACCAGGTCTTAGTTGAGGCACACAGAATCTTTAGCTGCAGCATACAGGCTCTTAGTTGAGACATGCAGGATCGTAGTCCCCCGACCAGGAATCAAACCTGGGCCCTCTGCACCGGGAGCATGGACTCTTAACTACTGCATCACCAGGGAGGTCCCAGAAGCAGGTTTCTCTTAAAGAGGATGCTGAAGAAGGTTCAGATTCAGGGCCTCTCACTTGCACAGGAGCCTTAAAATGCAGGGAGGAGGTGATCATATGTTCCCATGGTCACAAGTTTTTTTAACACCTGCAAAAGTAAGATATTGTAACTATAATTGGTTAAGGCTGCTGTCTCCACGTGGGCTTCCCCTCCCCTCCCATGCCCCTTTGTTAGGAGGGTGTTAGAGTAGCAATGGGTAGCTTTAGCTCCGACTAAGGTGAACTTGAGAGGAGGATACCTTTAGTTTGGGTGTAATGGGATATATTTTTGTAGTTCACACTTCTTTCCTTTTTTGTGTGTTACTTTTAATTAATTTATTTATTTAAAAATTTTAAATTGGGATATAATAGATATATAACATTACATTGGTTTCAGGTGTATGATACAATGATTTGACATATGCTTATGCTGTAAAATGATCTTTCACTTCTATATACAGTACAGTTGAGTGTGACTAGCTGTACTGGGATAGCAGTGGCTTCTTAGAGTCTCCCTTTCACTAATTTATGCTGGCTCACCCATAGAGTGTGTTATGAAGATACAAGGCTGGGGGCTGAGTGGCACGCTCATGCTTACCGTACCTGGTGTATCCTATTCTTTGTGACCCGTGGACTGTAACCCACCAGGCTCCTTTCTCCATGGGATTCTCCAGGCAAGAATACTGGAGTGAGGTTGCCATTTCATTCTCCAGGGGATCTTCCTGACCCTGGGATTGAATCCAGGGTCTCCTGCATTGCAGGCAGATTCTTGACTGTCTGAGCTGCCAGGGAAGCCTGATATCACATGTTTATAGGTAAGGCGGAGAAGCACAGTATGAAAGAGCCAAGAGTTGGTCCATGAAAAATTCTTCCAAATTTTACAGCTTACATACAAAAGAGACTTATGCAGACTTTTCCAAATTGACAACAATCCTCAAACATCACTGATGTTACCCATCTCAAGTGGTGTAGCTAAAAAAAACTTTCCTAGGACTTCCCTGGTGGTCCAGTGGTAAAGAATCTGTCTGCCAATGCAGGAGACGTAGGTTCAATCCCTGGTACGGGAAGATCCCACACGCCACCAAGCAGTTAAGCCTGTGTACCACAGCTACTGAGTCTGTGCTCTGGAGCCTGAGAGCTGCAGTTACAGAAGCTCTGTCACCTAGAGACCATGCGCCACAAGAGAAGCGATGGCAATGAGAAGGCCCCATGCTACAAGACAGTAGCCCCCATCCACCACAACCAGAGCAGCAAAGACCCGGCACAGCAGCCCCCACAAACAACCTTTCCTAGTCTATCAAAATGAAAGACGAATTTGGATGTGAGGAAAGATTGAATTATTTTCTCCTCTTTATTTCTCTTAATTACCTTTATCCCTAGAAAGTGATATTACCAAATTGTTGTCAAATAAAGAGTTGTTCAGAATATTGATCCCCAAAATGCAAGGAGCAAAAATGTATTAGAGAGGTAAAGATTCTAAGCACCCCAATTTTAGCATGTGACAGGGTTTTTCTGAGTAATTCTCAGACACCACCTGGGTATCCTACAATTAAGCTGAATCCTGACACTGCCTACCTGAAGACAGCCTCAGATCCCACAGGTTAAGGACTCAGTCCCACAAGACTGTCCCCGGCCCGATTCCACTTCAGACGCCAGTCCCATGTCCAAGCAGTCACTGGGGCTTCAGATCCACTGGCTGTAGACTGGAGAATCCCAAAACCTCATCCTTGGGTTTGATTAATTTGCTTAAGCAGCTCATGGCATTCAAAGAAAGATTTTACTTTCTAGATTGCTGACCGTTATGAAAGGATGGTACTCAGAAACAGCCAGAGGGGAGAGACGCACAGGGCAAGGCCCGGAGAAGCACCCAGAGCTTCGTCCCTCTCAGAGTGCACATTCTCCCTGCATCGCCGCTGTTCACAAACCTGGAAGCTCTTAGAACACTGTCTTTTTGGGGTTTTGTGGAGGCTTTATTAAACAGGCATTATTTTTTTTTTAATTGAAGGATAATTGCTTTGCAATGTTGGTTGGTTTCTACCATTAACAACCTCGTTGGGTCCAAAAGTCTGTTCTCTATGTCACACTGGTATTATAGATTAGATCACTGGTGACTGGCAACTGACTCAACTTCCAACACCTCTCCCAACCCAAGAGGCAGGAAAAGGGGACTGAAAACTCCAACCCTCTACTCACATGGTTGGTTCTCTTGGCTACCCGTCCTCATCATTAGGTGCGTTCCAAAAGTCATCTCAGTATAATAAAAGACACCTTTATCGTTCTCATCACTTAGGCAATTCTGAGGCTTTTAGAGCTCTGTGCCAGGAATGGGGGTGTAGACCAAATATATACTTCTTATTATAAATTACAAAGTCACAGAGGTGGTTAGACAATTAATTAAAAGATTATCTTGTTCTTTTTGTGGCTTTGTGATGGTTGGATTATTATCAGCTTTTTCAATGTGTAATTTTTTGAGATTTATTTTCTTATTCAAAATATTTAGTTTTGTACCTAACTTTAAGTTAGTAATTTTCTATCATTTTTATCGTATAAGCTTGACTTGGACTTGGATTTGGACTTGGACTCATCCTGGCTGGCTTATTTATTTTCAATGTGTTGTAATACAAAGATGGTTTGTTTCGTGGGTACCAGATGTCCAGAACTTTAATTGATGGTGGGAGGAGCAGGAGGTTAGATGTCAGGTCATTTAAGAAAAGTATTTTAATATTTAGAGCCTTTCAATGTGAAGACGGAAGTTACAAGGAATAGTGGGTTCCATGACAGTGGAGATATTTAAGTAAAGTTTTCACAGTCACGTGGCATGGCCATTGTAGTGGAGACCTGAACTTGGAAGGCTGTTTAGGCGTAATGAATTTTCAGATATACTTTGATGCCTGGGCTCTCTGCTTCTGCCTGTTTGTAGTACCTATGGCCCCCTTCTGATACCCCAACACTGCTTTCACAGTAGAATCTTAGAGAGGAGAGAGACAGGCCAGAGTAATGAGAACCAAAAACGAGGAACACAGCAACCTTTTTATGAAGAGGAGCTGAGAGCTCAGAAGTGAGATTAATGGCCTGGCATGTTCAGCCATCGAGAGGGAATCCACCGCAGACAGTTTCTAGAAACACCTTCTACAAGCTTCCCAAAGACCTAATCACGTCCTAAGGGAAAGGCCCGGCTTCTCACTAACGGCAGAGGCATTTGCTTTGCCATTAACCTTTTCAAGGGGTCACTTCCACACCATGAGCCCAACATGCCACCCAGAAAATGTAACTGAACATCAGTTTTGCTTTTCCTCTTGCTTAACTGTTTTAAATGTCCTTGAGCGGCATTTCTCCACCAGGCTTAATTTTATGGATTGTGGATTACATTTACTGCTCAGCACTTCTTGCTCAACCCTGGACAATTGCAGACCTACTGAGTTGTTAACTCACATGGTCAGCATTAGTGTCTGAGAGCAGTTATACCAAACGACTGAAGCAAAGTGCCATTAACACCTGGCCTTAGCGAGGCCTGGTGAAATCAGCACTTTGGTTCTTCTTTTCCACCCAGCAAAAACCCGGGAGGAATGAATGGGCAATGGCTTGGGTTAACTTTGCTTATCTTCCAAAGAGTTCAAATTTCTATCCCAGTCTTTCTAACTGCCTTATCTTGGAGAATTGTATTTGAAAGCGGTAGAATGGCCACTTTTCCCATCTTACAGGCAAGTTACAGAATTCCAGACAAAGGTGTGACTTTTGTGAAAGTGTGTATTAATCACTCAGTTGTGTTCAATTCTTTTCAACCCCATGGGCTGTAGCCTGCCAGGTCCTCTGTCTAGGGAATTCTCCAGGCAAGAATACTAGGATGGGTTGCCATTCCCTTCTCCAAAAGATTTTCCTAACCCAGAGATCAAACCCGGGTCTCCTACATTGCAGACAGATTCTTTCCCATCTGAGCCGTTGCAGAACACACAGAAAGTCAGAAGGTTATCTTGCTCTGGTTTGTTAATTTTATTTTTTTTTCCCTGCAGTAACCCAAGTCACTTGGTTAAGAGAATTCCAAGAAGTTGTGGAAGTTAGAAAAAGCTTTGGAATCCTAGACTCTTTTTAAAACTTTATTTATTTGGCTGCACAGGGTCTTAGCCATGGTGTGTGGGACCTTAGCTGCCACATGCCACAACACACAGGACCTTTTGATTGTGTCATGTAGGATCTAGTTCCCAGACCAGGGATCAAACGCAGGCCCCCTGCACTGGGAGCATGAAGTCTTAGCCACAGGACCACCAGAGAAATCCCTGAACCATAGACTCTTAACGTTGAAAGGGACCTTAAAAGTTATTTTGTATTTGCATCTCTGTGCTTTGAACATCTTCTCAAATAAAGGTGACTAGAACCTCCCACATGTATGACCTCCCACTGAAGCTACCTTATCTCCTGATCAGGAGAACTCCACTCATGTCAGATGGATAAGCCCAGAAGAGTGGAGCACAGTGAGTACAAATGGCTTCTGAAATTGCTAAAGGGTTCCCAGATCAGTGTTAACTTGGCCAACTCTTGTGGGTCTTTTTCTCATTTTGTCAGCCCTATTTATTGTAGTCTGTGCCATGCAAGTCTGCCATGTGTTGGGATGTTCGGGCTCAGAATGTCAGCAGCTCCATTTAGGAGGAGGACAGTCTGCAGCTGCTGGGAGTGGGGAGAAAATTCTGAAACGTCCTCTCCCGGTTCACTCAACCGTCCTCCCACTGCTCCCATGAAGGGGAGGTTGACAAATTCCTGATATCAAAACCAGCTGTCAGAACAACATAGGGTAATAGCTGTCCTTGTCAAAGGCACCAATTAATTCACTGGCTGTCAATGTTAGGATAATTGATAGACTCCACAATCTGGCTGAGTAATGAAAGTCGAAGGCATTACTAAGTCCATTCCACCTCCTAACAGGTCTGGTAGTGGAGCTAGGGTTGTCAGAGCTGGACAATATCAATAAGCCTCTGCAAAAATTAAAGTTTGATTTTTAAAAGTCTGTGTGTGGGCAGATGGAGGGAGGTTCCCTAATCAACTCGATCTATTACTATGGGCCCAGAAGTTCCCAGGAATGTTACCAGAAGAGGCTCAGAGGAAAACATGGCAGATGGGTAAATGTTATACTGGTTTGTTCTGAGGTTGGTTTGCATGTAGACAACTCACCACTCGTGGATGCTGTTTCAGACTGCAGTAGCCTAGATCTGCTGCTTTACTTACTTTCTTTGTTAAAAGTAGAAAATAGAAGTCTGGATCAACAGAAGTCTAGCTAGATTTGATAGGCAATAGTCTTTATTCTTATGATGGAATAATCTAATGACTATCAAGCAATGTGAATATTCTCAAGACTAGAGAGTTTTGTTGAACCTATGATGATATAATATAGAACATTGTCAAATTCCAGGGTGACAGTCACAATTAGAAAGCTGTGGTGGGGGGTGGGTAGGCAGGGGAAACCAGGGAAGTTAAAGGTCTGCTAGACTCCCAGGGAAAACAAAAGGTCATTTCTAAGGAGGTCAACTAAGAAAGGACAAGTAGGTACAATAGGTCTAAATGGGTAAGATGTCAACTATAAGTGTCATAAGGTCTATACTTGTGAACAAGATTTAACTCTGATCTGTGCATTCTAATTTTGCTGCATGTTTCTTACGCGAATTTATATTCTTTGCTGAACATGGACTACCATTAGCCCAAAGATAGTAGTAATAAGAATAGTACAATTTATGTTGTACACTTATTATATTCAAGCATTTTTCCTTTTATTTTAAATAAATTATCATTTAATTCTCACAACCTTTTGAAACAGGTTAAACAAAAAAACATTTTTAGTGTTCACAAACTTTTAGACTAATGGAAGGACACCTGTGATCTTCATCTCAATTTTCCTCTTATTCCTCCCTCTCAAAGAGGAAGGAGTCTTTTTGGCTGCTAGCGGGGCTAAACACTGATCTAATTAATAAGATGTTGATAGAAAGGGGAGGGTGAATGGTGGGAAAATGCCTATTGATGGTGATGGGGTGAGAGAGGGTATAGTTTTTCAGGAGTGTTTGAGGAGAGAGGCTTAGAGCAGCTGCAGAGAGTAAATTAAGTGGATGGGAGAGCATAAAGATTAAATAAACATTGTTGTGAACCAAGTAAATCCTCTGTCACATCCTTTGAAGAAGCCTGGCAAAACCCAGAATATCTTTTCAACTACTTTCAGACTATTGAAATCAGTGATTATTACATGTGACATTACTTTGAGGTAGAATGACAAGATCTCTGAATTCATTAAAATTAGAGTATGAATATTACTCATGGAAAGACGAGGCTATTGGACCTTAAAAAAATTACATAATTGACCCAAAGCTTTCAGAACATTTGTGGAACTGTGATTTAGCAGCCCAGATGAAACTACCCATTTTTGCATTCCTGCGCATGTGATTCTGGTACAGTTCCATATTCAAGGATTTTCCTTGGCCAGTTACACCAATTTCCTTCAAAGCCTCAAGTCAGAACTTAACTGCTTTTCTCTTGGTAATAATAGTACTTTCAAACATTAGGTACTTCCTGTGTGACAGGCTACATGCCATATACTTGACTTGCATGTTCTCACCGAATCCCCTAACGTGTAGGTATCATTATCTCCAAGGTATAGGAGAGAAAACTGAGGCTTCAGGAGTTTGTCACTTGGCCAAGGTTGCAAAGCTAGTGTACATTTGAGTCTGAAGTTGAATCCAGTTCTGCCGAACAGCAAGCCTCTGCCTCCCTCCTTTTCTTTAAGGTCATTTTTGAAGCCCCAGGTAAATGCAAATTGTTGTTCCTGGAAGAGTGGATGCTGTTTCAGACTGCAGTAGCCTAGATCTGCTGCTTTACTTACTTTCTTTGTTAAAAGTAGAAAATAGAAGTCTGGATCAACAGAAGTCTAGCTAGATTTGATAGGCAATAGTCTTTATTCTTATGATGGAATAATCTAATGACTATCAAGCAATGTGAATATTCTCAAGACTAGAGAGTTTTGTTGAACCTATGATGATATAATATAGAACATTGTCAAATTCCAGGGTGACAGTCACAATTAGAAAGCTGTGGTGGGGGGTGGGTAGGCAGGGGAAACCAGGGAAGTTAAAGGTCTGCTAGACTCCCAGGGAAAACAAAAGGTCATTTCTAAGGAGGTCAACTAAGAAAGGACAAGTAGGTACAATAGGTCTAAATGGGTAAGATGTCAACTATAAGTGTCATAAGGTCTATACTTGTGAACAAGATTTAACTCTGATCTGTGCATTCTAATTTTGCTGCATGTTTCTTACGCGAATTTATATTCTTTGCTGAACATGGACTACCATTAGCCCAAAGATAGTAGTAATAAGAATAGTACAATTTATGTTGTACACTTATTATATTCAAGCATTTTTCCTTTTATTTTAAATAAATTATCATTTAATTCTCACAACCTTTTGAAACAGGTTAAACAAAAAAACATTTTTAGTGTTCACAAACTTTTAGACTAATGGAAGGACACCTGTGATCTTCATCTCAATTTTCCTCTTATTCCTCCCTCTCAAAGAGGAAGGAGTCTTTTTGGCTGCTAGCGGGGCTAAACACTGATCTAATTAATAAGATGTTGATAGAAAGGGGAGGGTGAATGGTGGGAAAATGCCTATTGATGGTGATGGGGTGAGAGAGGGTATAGTTTTTCAGGAGTGTTTGAGGAGAGAGGCTTAGAGCAGCTGCAGAGAGTAAATTAAGTGGATGGGAGAGCATAAAGATTAAATAAACATTGTTGTGAACCAAGTAAATCCTCTGTCACATCCTTTGAAGAAGCCTGGCAAAACCCAGAATATCTTTTCAACTACTTTCAGACTATTGAAATCAGTGATTATTACATGTGACATTACTTTGAGGTAGAATGACAAGATCTCTGAATTCATTAAAATTAGAGTATGAATATTACTCATGGAAAGACGAGGCTATTGGACCTTAAAAAAATTACATAATTGACCCAAAGCTTTCAGAACATTTGTGGAACTGTGATTTAGCAGCCCAGATGAAACTACCCATTTTTGCATTCCTGCGCATGTGATTCTGGTACAGTTCCATATTCAAGGATTTTCCTTGGCCAGTTACACCAATTTCCTTCAAAGCCTCAAGTCAGAACTTAACTGCTTTTCTCTTGGTAATAATAGTACTTTCAAACATTAGGTACTTCCTGTGTGACAGGCTACATGCCATATATTTGACTTGCATGTTCTCACCGAATCCCCTAACGTGTAGGTATCATTATCTCCAAGGTATAGGAGAGAAAACTGAGGCTTCAGGAGTTTGTCACTTGGCCAAGGTTGCAAAGCTAGTGTACATTTGAGTCTGAAGTTGAATCCAGTTCTGCCGAACAGCAAGCCTCTGCCTCCCTCCTTTTCTTTAAGGTCATTTTTGAAGCCCCAGGTAAATGCAAATTGTTGTTCCTGGAAGAGGAGAATCTTAAATCTTGCTCAGAAACACTCCAGGCATCCTTCGCACCTTGGCCTGTTTGCTTTCCAATTGTTTGGGTGACCACACTATTTGAATAATCTGTGTAGTCAGAGGGGCGAAAATCAAGCAAAAGAGTGAGCAATGAATCCCCAGCAGGCAGCGGGGCTAGGGATTAGTTTCCTTGAAGCAGCCTGATTGATAAGCTGGGATTTGTCTAGGCAGGCAGTCTTCAATTTGGATTTGTCAGGATCGGGAAGATTTGTTTTCTTCTGTAGTAATGTGAGGCTCGGGTGAGTTCAGTGTAATGCTTGTTCACCTTGACTCTGATCTTTAAAATCACGACCCTGTTTCTCCAGCCACCCACCTAAGAAAACACAGAGATAGATTTGCGTAGTGTCTTCCAATGGAAATTGTTTCTCTTGAAAAGTAAAATGTTTTTCTTCCTTTCTATACTTCATCTTGAGTAGTTATTTAATGAAAAATAAGATACAAAGCAAGAAAAGAAAAGGAAAGAAAGAAAGGAAGGAAAAGGAAAGAAAGGAAAAGGAAAGGGAAAGAAAAGAATGGTCCTACCCCCGAGGATCAGGACTAAGGTCTCCTAATTGGACCAAGGTCCTTGTATCAATGAAAAATAGATATCTGGTGCATGGCAAAATCATTTCTCCTCTTCTCCTCCATCACGTCAATTCAAAAGGCTTTCATTTCATTTTATTTTTACATTGGCCAACTGAAGCTGTCATGTTTGGGAGCTAAAAGTGTTATCCTGCGTGGGCATCACATCCATCAATTAACGTTTCTGCCTTCTGTGCTAAAGGAATTATCTCCAAGTTCATCTTGATGAATTTTTCTCTCTACCTCATTACACAAGCTAGATACAGCAGAGACTTTTCATGTTTAATGGCAACCATCTTACACACATTCTGATTCTTTTGAATGCACACATGCCTATTTATAGAGGCCCATGAACATTTCATTGACTGTTTCTGCATTAAAAACACTTAAATTACAACAGCCATACAAGTCCTTTGTAAAATAAAATCAAACATTATAGAAATGTTTTTAAAAATGAAAGCCCTCAAAGAGAATTTTTTTCCAATGCACAATTATGAGTCAAATCACACACTATATATACTCTACTGCGATTTGATTTTTTACTTCCTTTTTTATCTGAGTGCGTAGAAGTAAGATGGTCATTAATAACTGACACTTTTCTTTATACCCTTTATTACTAATAAAACTTACATTTTGAGAGTGCATTTAACTTTTATAGCACATTCACATTTAATTTCTTAATTGCTCCTTAGATGGACTTATGAGATCAGAGGAGATCTTGAGTCACTAAGATTCCTAGCATAAATTCCTTGTGTATTTCTCTGTGTTTACTTGCTGATATTCTGGTTCTGTCATTTGAATGCAAACTTCTTGAGGGCAAGAGAATCTGCCTGTCTATGTCATGCCTGATTCTCTCTGGTATATTGTAAGTTGTCAATAAATGTATGTGTAAACTAAATAACAAATAATTTATTCTAAATGTTCCTATCTTCTGGATAATCCTCTCTCCATGGGATTCTCCAGGCAAGAATACTGGAGTGGGTTGCCATTTCCTTCTCTAGGGAATCTTCCCCACCTAGGGATCAAACTGGAGTCTCTTTAAGTTTCCTGCATTGGCAGGCGGGTTCTTTACCACTAGCGCTAGCTGGGAAGCCCAGATAATCGACAGTTTGCATTTTCAAAAATCTGAATGAATTTATTGCTGAAATGTATAAAAGTCTTTCTTGCCTTTGTAAAGAGAGTCCACAATCTAGATATTAATATTTCCTGGAAGTACAAGATCATCACTGTATCATCGACAATTACTTAAGTGTGTATTTTACTACTGTGATTTTAAAGCTCAAGATATATCAGGTTCTTTGCCTCTACCTTAACTCACCTAGACATTTATTTAATTGTTTAACTTCTTGAGTCTTCTGACTTAAAAAAATAGCAACAATTGATAGCATCATTTTATTTCAGCAAACATCTGGGTGCCTAATGTATTGATTACAAAAAAAAAATTACACAGTCTCAATGCACAGGGATGATAGGATCATATGTCTTTGATGACAGTACACAGGAATTCTCATTTTGAATATATTGCTGCTCTGTAATGCTATATAGTAAGTTTAGGAATCAATAATGAAGTGTACTAGCAACGTGTGTAAAACATGAGAAAGCAGGTATAGAAAGGAGTCTCCCATTTGTACTCCTATTTGTATGTAGGTTAAGTGATATCTGGTCCCCTGTTTACGGAGGATTTTTTAAAATATATAATGCATATATTTACTTAGTTGCAGCAATAGGTATCTTTGTTCCAGTGCGCAGGCTCCAGGGCATGTGGGCTTAGTTGCCTGGTACCAAGTGGGATCTTAGTTCCCCAACTAAGGACTGAACCCATGTCCCCTGCATTGGAAGACTAACTCTTAACTACTGGACCATCAGGGTAGCCCCTATGGAGGATTTTTTAAATTGCAGCTGATTCTCAATTATGTTTAGGGAAACCTAAGTTTTGTTTGTTCTTTGTAGAGGAGGAATTATCCACATGATAGAAATAAAATGGAGGCCTGAAAGAACAAATTTCTTGTCTAAGCTTGCATTGCTAGTTTGAAGCAGAGCCAAGAAAATTCCCCTTTCTTGATTGCTGACTACATGTATTTCTCACCAGACCACAGACTCACAAGAACTTGTTACAGAATGATAAAGCGTACAGGTGAGCCTTGTATGCATCTCTGTGTAGTATTTGCAGAGCTTTCCAAAATAAGGGATGAAAGCCACTTGCCTTCTTCTGTATTAGGCAGCTGTCCTTTGTGAATCTGCTCATATCAAATCATAGAAGAGCAAGGAGTTGAGACAGTTTTTCAATTTGTGTGTAAGGGATGAGAACTTAGGAAAAACAGCAACAGACATGATAGGCAATTCAAGAGACGATCAGGTGTGATTGCTTGTCTCAAAATCTTAAGCTTTTACATTTGCCCTGGGTTATTAACTCAAATGGAGCAAAAGCCTTAAGCCTGTAGGAAATGTGGTGTTAATACAGTTTAACGTCATATGAACTTGTCCTCAGTACAGGCTTTTCTTGGGCTTCTAGTTGATATGAGTTTCTTGATCTGGGTCTCTTGCTGTTCAGGCCTTCTCTTGTCCTGGCTTTTTGAATTTTTGTGATAGGCTGCGGCATTTCATTTGTCTTGACTGGCTATTCATGCAAGCGCACTGACAGTGAACACAGTTGCCAGAGGGACCTCCCCAATGTATGAATCAAATCATGTCATTCAACTACTGAAAACCTCCCACTATCTTCCTATGGCAATTAGAATAAAACCTTATGTTGAAATTTGTTAAGAAAGTAGAACTTAAATGTTCTCATCTATATCTATCTATATTTATAGCTGGATGTGTTAATTAAGTTGTTGGGAGGAATCCTTTCATAGTGTAAATGTATATCAAATTGTCACAATATAGACGCTTTAAACGTTTTACAATTTTATTTGTCAATTATACTTCAATAAAGCTGAAAAAAAAGAATGAAATCCTAAGTCTTGCCAGGGTCTGCAAATACTTCCATGATTTTGCACTTGCCACATCCATCGCCGCACTCCCCACCCACATGCTCTGACCACACTGGCCTTTTTCCCTGCCTCTCTGTTACTAGAAGCTCTGTATTCACTGTTCCCTCTTCCTGAGCACTCTTC